CTTTCATGAGTGTCTTTGTCTTCTAAAGCCCCCAGACCTAAATGGTTTTGTGACCAAACACATCCTGATTTCCACTGGGTATCTTACAATGCAGTATCAGGCTTTCTGTTCCGAAAGGGTGGCTTCCAGAAATTGTCCACCTGTCAAAAAAGCCAGCAGAAGGTTCCTTTCATTTCCCTCTTCTTTTAAGTTTATGTCAGGCAGCACAAATAAAGGAGATGAAGTTTTCTCTAATCTCTGCAACTCACAGGAATAGAAAAATATTTTAATTCAGTAAGGAGCATATCACAGGTCTGAAGGAGTTAAACGGGTCAAAGTTTTGAGTGTCTGAGGAGAAGTATCCCAGTCAGTGATTTATTTTTAAATTTGGTCACTGCTCAGGCTCAGATGTAGAAAATTAGGTAGGCAAGTTTGGATATAATAGGGAGCCACAGTGAGGGGAGCTGCATGCATCCTTTGACAGGCCCCACCTGTTCCACTCTTTTGTACCAGAGGAAAAACCTCATTCCAACACAAACTGGAACACACAGTGTACAAACAGGTCTGTCCCACATGAAAGTAAGGTACTGAACAACAAGTTCAGATACTTTCCTCAAAGCATTTGGCTTTTTCCTTTCCTTTGTAAAAATTCTGGTCTAAAAGAAAGCAAAGAGTATTTCAACCCATATGTGGGTTGAAAGAGTGTAAGTGTTTGGATTGCTTCAGAGGATGGCTAAAAATTATCAGAAGAATCATGAGAAAATATTTAGAAGGTTCCTGTATGAAAGACAGAAGGAGATTCTTTAATGAAGTTTGTAGCAATAGGACAAGAGGTAATGGTATTAAGCTAAAGGAGGATGGATCCCAGCTAAATACAAGGAAGAATTATTTTTCTGTGAGGGTGGTGAGGCATGGGAACAGAGAGGTGCTGGATACCCCATCCCTGGAAATATTCAAGGTCAAGTTGGATGGGGCTCTGAGCAACCTAATTTAATTGAAAATGTTTGTGCACTGCAGAGGAGTTGTACTAAATGAACTCTAACAACCCCTTCCAACAGATTCTATGATTACAATATTCTATGTAAACACAACTGTAATGTTTGTTACCATGAAAATTTCATTATGAACAGAAGGAATATTTCCAAGTGACTTTTTACCAGAAATAAAAGTTACTACTATCAAGGGTGGTTTTTTATGGAGTAGAAAGGAATTAAGTAAATGAAAACAGATAGAAATAAATGGAAGAAAGTTCTATCTAGCAAAAGGTACCATAATTAACTCCCTAAAAGTGTATAATGAAAAGAATAGCTCATAAAAGCTATTTCAATTAAAATATTCCCCTTTTATTAATTGAGCATTAAACTAATGTACTTTCAATCACATATTTAATTTGCTTTGCCCTACCCTACCTTTCCTTTCACCAGAGCATAAAATATGCATTTCTAGCACAGACTGGTTCTCTTGAATGTACTAAAAGGACTTTGTGATTTTTCTGGCAACATAAAAAAATAAACAGGCATCCAAATATACTTGCTACCAATGGTAGCCTCTTTTCTTGTTTAGGACATTTATCCTTATATGAATTATTCATGTCCTGTTGCTTAAAGATAACACAGCTTTTTGCAAAAGAGGCAACATTGAAAACTCACATTAGAACCCTCTGATTGCAACAACTTCCCCCCGAAACAGCATCCTCAAAGGAAAGGCCTTTGGAGCTGTTTTGAATATTCCCCATGATTGAAAAACAGCACAAGGGAGAGATAAAAATCCTCATATTCTTGTGCTTATAACTAGGCTCTCAAAAAATCACATTGCCATTTCAATTTTGTACCTGCAAGTATGCTAAAATAATGATCAGGTACATTTAAATAGGTTTTGTGGGATTCTACTTTGATATAATGTCTTGGCTTAGATGTCTCATAGACATAATTAATTTCAGAATTTGACCATAATCTGATCTGATGCTTTCTTTTCTGTTCTAATTCTCTGCTCTTTTTTAAAATGGGGGGAAAATACTACATTTTCCAGCTTATATTTTATAGTCTTTGCTCTTTTTTAAACATGTCTCTTAAAGACTACCATTAAGTTTTCACATTTAATACAAAAGCAAGCACACTAACAAGGTAATAGTCTATTTATTTCCTCTCCTTGGCAACTGATGGATCACAGATTAAATATTTTTTAAAGATTTAGCAGCCAAATAAATAGAAAATCCCTTCTGAATGTGTTATGTAAACAATAATTGAACAAGAAATGTGCAGATCAGAAGCTGCACATACATCTTATTTTGATCTGTCCATTATGTTAGAAGTGCAAGACTGGCTCTTACTAGCTTTAAAAACAAACGATATATTAGAAATATATTTTTCTGCAGAATCCACAGGAGAAATCATCACTCTGCAGTCAGATCTTGTCTCCCAACCCTTTTAGCAGTGGACTAAAAGGTTCTTATTCCATTCCAGGTAAAGCCAGCCAAGATGCAGGTGGTTATTTGTTTATAGTGCCAAGTAAAAGGGGCCTGTCTATTTCTTGGATGATTCCGGTCTTAGAAGGATATGTTTCCTGCTACTGTCTAACCTTTAAAAAAAAAAAAAAATCAAAACAAAACAAAAGGCCCAGCAGAATCTGAGAACAGCCTTTCCTGTGGCTAACCAAGCACCCATCTGCCACAGGACCTGCCCTACGAACTGGTCACATCAGAGATTTTACAAAAACAAAGTAAGTATAACATTATCCTCCCCTCTCAGATATGTGGCTTCTATCTTCAGCAATCCTAAACCTCTGCACCTCAGCAGTGGGTTTCAGGGGCTTCTGCAGATTTCTTTCTTTGGAGAAGCTTATTTCTGGTGAGAAATGTAGCCACCATCCTGGATTTTATTCCTTTTATTCACATAGCAGTACTCTTTGTATGATCATTTGAGGTAGGGGTCTGCTTGACATAATTATCCATACTCATGTGTAAAGGGGCATAGTTGTCTATAACTGGACTTATTTGCATTGATGTCTGTGACAGAAGTCCTTGTCTAGACATGCCACTTTCCATGTGGGGAATGCAATAGGAGAAGGCTGAATGGTAAATTTGCTCATAGAAGAGTAGAACAGAAGCATCTCTGCTGCTCTTGGAGAGATAGAGACCCATCTGCTTTTAAATATAGCTGTTTAAATATATCAAAACATTTTGTGCTGTCCTCATTAGGAGCACAGTGACAGATTATAAATATCTGAAACCAATCCTAAAACAGGTTACCTCAACTTATAAAAAGCTACCTTCCAGTGATTTCTTCTTGGGCTTTAAGAGAGCAAGATCCTACAAAGATGCTTCAAGAGCAATATCCCTTGATGTCCTGACAAGAGAAGTTAGCAGGTATGCAAAGAATGTGCTACGACAGTGGTCTGCTCCACAGTGCCCTCCTCATCTGCTTCCAGTCCAAATACCCCCACAGAGTCTTATTGCCTTCAAGTAGTTCTGATCAACAAGTTAGTTTGAAGGTGTTATTTTGAATATGCCATTTTCACCCATCATTCCCATCAGTAATGATTAAGGGTGTGTGGAAGAAAAGAAGAGATTTTTCTGACCTCAAAACCACTACCATTATGCTCTTCACCCTGCCAAACTAGCTATTCATCATCGTGGTGCCATAGCACCAGCCCTACCTAGCCCTGAGAAAGATACAGGAAAAATTTACAGATTCCTGTTGGATTTTCCTGATGAAAGCCATGTTGTTCAGATAAAACACCCTCAGCTGTCTTAATGAGCAGGAATTTCTTTCTCTGTGTCAGCTGCCTATTTTGTGCTGCTGCTGGTCTCTCCTTCCTTTCACCAATACCGTAGGCTACCATGAAAGGTAAATCTTGGGGCTTTCTGAATAGTTTTTTCAAAAAATACAGCATGCAAACTGCTCTGGGGCAGCATTCTAATGTATATAAGAAAGCTGCCAAAGCCAGTCCCTTTCTCTCCCACCTGACTGGCAAGCAGAGGGTTGATTTTCCTCCTAGCCCTGTGGCTCTTACAGAAACATTTGCAAAGAACACGATCTGCTGACAAACAGCAAAACAGGTTTAATCCTGCCAGTGAGCACTGTGCTTGTTCAACCAGATCTAACTGCAGCTTTTGAAAAGCTCAGCATCTCTGCAGTGTAGTCTTGCAGTCTTACACTGCAGCCTCCAAATTCTGCATTGAGCGCTGATGACCGCGCACTGCAGTGTGACGCACTCCCACCACGCTGCTGCAGTCTGTGCAGACTGGGTAAAGGACAGCAGCAAAACAAGAGCTTCTGGCAGAGCTCAGCATCCCAGTGAGCTTCAAGGGCATTGCCTTCTTAAAGGCAGAGCTTAATGTTTTCAATGCAGAACTCCATACTAGAATGGCTCTGCTCAGATTTCAGTTGCGACAAAGTGAAGCCTGTTTAAGGATTAACCCTAAGATGGCAGTGGGAACTTTGGAAGCTCAGTGCTTGTGTTTATCCCCACATTTTTTTCTGATGGAAAGAAGTTCCCAACAAACTTTTTCAGCACTGAATAGCTTTGCACTCCGAATAGCATGTGAAGTTTCAGGACCTATGTCATACATCCAGCCAAACTAGGGCACCAAAGTAAAAAGGTAAAAAGTTAAAAGGGTAATCACACATGAACAATTTGCCATTTCAACCCCACTTTGACTCACCTTCACAGTGCAGCATTTCTATGTCAACTGGCAGGGTTGTGCTGTGGAAGATAAACCAGATGGTGCATAGTTCAGACTGTAGAAGCAAGCCTAGGACTGAAACTTGAACACTGTAGTTGTTCCTTCCTCAGCTTTTCAAAAGATAAGTTTCACTGGTAGAGCATAAATGTTTCACACAGAGCAGATAATAAACAGAACAGAAGCAAAATTCAATAAATATCCCAAGGCATAACACTTCTAAGGAAACACAAATATTATTGAAAGACTTACCTGTTCTGGATTGAAAAACCTGAATACACAGCTACAAGCATGAAGAGCCCTGAAAGAAATACTGGGACATCCAATCACATGAACTTACCTAAAGCCTCTTTACTGCATTACAGGAAAAATAGACTCACTGAACCTTCATCTTCCATTAAGGTCGGTGGCATTAGCATTTATTAACTCATGTGGTTTGACTCTAATATTATTACAAAGAGAATCAAAAAGTGCAGAATAAAAGAACACTCAAAGCACACTCTAAACTCGGTGTTGCCACTCTGTCTGCTTACAGTGAAAGAAAAGCACTCTCCTCTATAACAAAGGACAGAGACATTTCCTTTGGGGAGGTTAAGGTTCCAAACACTGCTACAGTTAAGGGGTTTTGACTAAAAATACTCATTCTTGGCATTCCTTCCTGTCTCTTAATGCTGAGTTGGGTCTGGTAACAAGATGTGAGGGAGTAGTCAGGCACTTTCAGGAATACTACCCAAAAAATTGATTTATCTTATAATAGCTCTTGGCATTTCAATACCTCCAGCTAGCACTATTTCTGGAGATATTCAATAGTGCTGCTTTAGTATGCTCAGAACAGAAGAATGTGGCAAAGTGAATGCTTGGAAACTGGGGGAAACAAAATGCTCTCAATGTCAGCTGCAGGTGTGACTCTGGACAGAAGGTCAATGGATTTCTTTAAACCACAAGACAGACTTCTTCAAGCTGAAAGAAATGTTCTTTTTACTTTCCTTGATAAATATTTATTTTGACCTAGTCTGTAATTTTCTTCTTCAATTTCACATCATAGGAAATCCAGAAGAATTTTTGTTTCTTTTCTCATTTTCTCACATGAAAAATTTGCTCCAAAGGCTTTCATGCTTACCTTTAACTTTAGAAAGTTAGCACAGATTATCTTAATTTCCTTCTTTTGGAATCTATTCTGCCTTTCATGACTCAAACTATGCTTCTCTGGTCTGACACAGACAACCTGATTGATCAGAATTGATACCTTATACTGGCAGATCTGCAGAAACACCAGACTCATCACAGATAGAGGAATCTACTCCCAAAGTCATACCAGTCCAAACCATTATTAAAAAAAATATTTTACTTTTGTGTTTACATCATCTGAATACAGCACTGGAAGGACAGGTGTTGAGGCGCGGCATGCGCTCCTCGCCGCTGCACTCCGAGCCGTGCTGGGCGGTGAGGGAAGAGAACGGGCGGCCGCTTTCCCCCGCAAGCTCTGCAGTTTCAGTTCGTGGCGCGCAGGGACAGA